GGCTAAAATACGTTTTTTTAAAATATATTTTTATTGTCCGGCTAGTGTGGCTCAGTGGTTGAGCATTGCCCCGTGTACCTAGAGGTCGCTGATTCAATTGCCGGTCAGGACATATGCCCAGGTTGTGGGCCTGATGCCTGGTGGGGGCCATGCCAGAGGTAGCCAGTTGATGTTCTCTCTCATTGATGTTTCTATCTATTTCTCCCTCTCTCTGTAAAATCAATAAAGGAAAAAAAAATTAAAATATATTTCTATTGATTTTTAGAGGGAGAGGGAGAAAGAGGTAGAAGCATCTATGTGAGAGAGAACCCCCTGTATACTTCCCAGTGGGGATCAAGCCCACAACCCGGGCATGTGTCCTGACCAGGAATCGAACCAGTGACCTCTTGGTGCATGGGTCAATGCTCAACCACTGAGCCACACCGGCCGGGCGAGGTTTTAAAGCAGAAGTTCCTGACAGACAGCCAGAATTGGCCTGTAGACTGGTCTGTGTAATATTTAAAATTTTAAAAATTAGTTGCTACATTTTAAAATCATGAGATTTTTACATAAAAATATGTAGTTCCAGCTTTTCTCAAAAAAGGGGGGAAAAAAGCACTCTCTGGCAACACTGGGCTCACATTCCCACATGGTGATAGCTACAAGGAACCTGAGTAGTGGCCACCCTCTTTAGACAGGACAGGCTTGTCCAGGTTGCCACAGTCTCTCAGCTTTCTCACTCACCCCCAGTTTGCCTCACTGCTGCTCCCCATCGGCATTGTGTCTATAGCCCCTTACCCCTAGTGTACACTCACCCTGCTCCCTGGAGGTTGCTGTAATGTATCTCGCCCATCTCTAGACACTGCTGTTGTTTCCATTGATCATGCTTACAATAAGCATGGTACATACTACTTTTGTGTACATGTGCAAGTATTTTTAGGAAGGATTTCTAGGAGCCATCTTCTCTATCTTTCCCTCACCTGTCGCCCATGGGGAAAGACTCAGGACTGCTCTTGGTTTCTCGGTGGCTTTTCCCTTGAAGACCTCCCTTCCCCCTGACTGTATCTCTTCTTCCCAGGGTGGCTGAGGTACTGGAAGGCAAAGGAGCAGGGAAGAAAGGCCGTTTTCAGGGTAAGGCCACCAAGATGAGCCGGCGGGCAGAGGCGCAGGTGCTTCTCCAGGACTACGTCAGCACGCAGAGTGCTGAGGAGTGAGGACTCGCACCTCCCTGGTGCTCCTGCCATTGAGAATGGGCCTCCTGTAACAACAGAAAGAGTCTCTTGGACAATAAAATAGTTTGACTTGCAGTGATTGTGGTACCATGTATAACTAATTTATATAGTATACTCCAGTGTGCTTATGCAATAAATATCTTTGAATAAACAGCTTACTAATTTGGTCCCATTAGACATAACCTACATGAATGAGTGTTATGTTGATGAAGTGCACTGATTTCTCAAAACCCAGCTGCAACCTTCATGTAGAAGTACAGCTGCCGAAGGAGCGTGTAAGTCAGGCTGGAGCTTTACCTTAGACTCATTCTCATCTTTTTGTTATCTTTTTTCCTTATTTCTTTTTCGTTTTTTAACCCTCACCCGAGGATATTTTCCATTTTTTGTACAGATAGAGTGGGAGGGAGAGAGAGGAAGGAGAGAGAGAGAGAAACATCGATGTGAAGGGACACATCGAGTGGCTGCCACCCGCACGACCAACCAGGGCCGGGGACAAACTGCAACCGAAGTACGTGCCCTTAGCGGGAACCGAACCCGAATCTCTCAGGACCGCAGGCCGACGCTCTAACCGCTGAGCCAAACTGGCCAGGGCCTTATTTCTTTTTCTAGTTTTATATTCCAGAACTAAAAAGTGTCAGTGTCTTTGCAGATAGGTCAAGAAGCCACAAAAGTATACAGTAGAAAGATGCTCCAAGTCTTACCAAGGCAGAAAAAGAATGGAAAAAGATACCTTGAAGACTAATCCAAAGAAAGCTGGTATAGCATTATTAAAATCAGACAAATGAGACTAAGGCTATAAGCTGTAAGACTTTAAGAATCATTGTTAGAGCCTAGTTAGGTAGCTGAGTTGGTTAGAGCATCATTCCAATATGCCAATGTTGTGCGTTTGATCCATGGCCAGAGCACATAATCAACCAATGAGCCCAGCTGTTGTGGCTCAGTGGATTGAGTATCATCTCATGCACCAAGATGTCACCTGTTCCATTTCTATTCAGGGCACATGCCCAGGTTGTGGGCCCTGTCCCCAGTGGGGGGCATGCAGGAGGAGGCCAATTGATGTTCTCTCTCATTGATGTCTCTTTCTCCCTTTCTCTTCTCTCTAAAATCAATTTAGAAAAAAAAATGATTAAAAAAAAAAAAAAGAATGTGGTTCCCACAGTGTTTAGTCTTTGTATGAAGGTCCATTTGCCAGAGTTCAGTTCCTTTCCAGCTCACCTGGTTGAGCCTGGGGTCCAGGCAGCTCTTGAGGGACCCACAGGACTTCCATGGTGTCTGAGCTCCCAATTTGCCATTGCCCTCTGGTAACAAGCTGAGTTGGAACCAAAACTCTGTGCCCTGAATTCCTTCTTGCCAAGGTCTGCCCAGTCAGTGCCCTCCCTACAGCTGGGTCAGTGGCCTGAGTTTCCAACTGGGGAAAGAGCCCCTCTCTTCCTGATCTCATGGCCTACCCTTTTATTAATTGATTGATTGATTGATTCATTCATTTTTATTATATTTTGGTATGTACCCCTAGCAGGAACCGAACCCAGGACTCTCTGGTCTGCAGGCTGACCAAACTGGCCAGGGCATAGCCTACCCTTTTAGAGAAGACACCAAGGGAAGTGGACAAGCTGTAGAAGCAGGGCTGTGGACACCACACACCACATGGGTTTCTATGGCCTGGAGGCACTTGAGAAAGTTTGCTCTTTGAGCCCTACCTTATTCCTGCCTCCACATTTCTTTCTAGAAAATACCCCAGTTCTTATTGATGCCCATCCAAAGTCCACACCCAAGGAGGAGCAGCAGGAATGTGATGTCCTGGAGCCTGTTGCCTGACCAGGCCAGGCTGGTACCTCCTGGGACGCTCCCGGCTCATCTGCTTGCCCATCCCTGACCAGGAAGCTCCTGGCCTGGTTGCCTGAGTTCCCAAGGCTTTTTGGTTCCTACACTCAGTGACAGTCTGGTCATCTATGCTGACTGTACAGTAATGGAGGGCACTGTCACCCATGACCCTGGGAACAGGTGATCCTGAGCATCCACAAAACTCCTTGACTGCTGCTGTCACTTGACCATCCTACCCCTCCTCAAAGCATACTCCACGTGCTCTATGTAAATGGCAGGAATCGGAAGAAGATTATTTGGCAAGGTGACAGGAACATTTTTGCTTAGAGGCAGAGAGACAAGATGAAGAAGGCTGTCCAGAGACAAATGTCTCCCACAAGGAGACAACCAGGGGCTGTCTGGAATGGAGGGACGAAGGAAAATTACAGGAGCTGAAGCAGCAGGGACATCCAGGATCTCAGAGGGAAGGCCAGGGGGTAGAAGCTGAAGTTGTAAGAGGAAGAGGAGAAAGAAAGAGCAGAGAAGGAATGTGTTAGGATGACAGGGAATGAAGACAGACAAGAGCTGGGCCATGGGCCATGAAGGGACCCTATCCCAGGGCTTAAGAAAATACTTGGTTTCTAGAGGTCTCACCTTCATATTCAAGATCCAGGGCAGAGGAGGAGCTGAGCAGACCCAACAAAGTTTCTGAGCGTACTTAATGCCACTGACCCGTACATGTGAAAATGGTCCAATGATAGATTTTATGTTATGGACGTTTTACCACTATAAAACAAAAAAAAGGAAAACAATGGTACAGTCACTTTGGAAACTGGTTTGGTGGTTCCTATAAAGGTTAAACATATGACCCAGCAATTCCACTCCCAGGTTTACACCCAGAGAAGTGAAAATATACGTCCATATGCAAACTCGTGCACGAATGTTCACAGCAGCATTATCTATAATAACCGAATGTCCTTCAATCAATGAATGGATCAACAAAATGTGGTAACAGTCATACAACGGAATATTATTCGGCCCTAAAGGAATGAAATCCTGTTTCATGCTACAAAATAGATGTACTTCAAAAACATTATGCTAAAAGAGGCCAATCACAAAAGACCACAAGCTGTAAATATCTATTTATAGTAAATGTCCAGAATATAGGCAAATCTATAGTGACAGAGATCTTGGTGGTTGCCTAGAGCTGGGAAGGAGTCAAAGGGAAACAGGAAGTGACTGCTAACAGGTACGGGGGTTCTGTCTTGAGTGATGGAAATGTTCTGGAATGAGTGGCATTGGTTGCACAACTTTGTGAATACGCTAAACTCCACTAAATTAGACACGTTAAAAGGGTGAATCTTGCCCTGGCTAGTTTGGCTCAGCGGTTAGAGCGTCGGCCTGCGGTCCGGAGAGACCCGGGTTCGGTTCCCGCTAAGGGCATGTACTTCGGTTGCAGTTTGTCCCCGGCCCTGGTTGGTCGTGCGGGTGGCAGCCACTCGATGTGTCCCTTTCACGTCGATGTTTCTCACTCTCCCTTCCTCTCTCTCCCTCCCATTCTATCTGTACAAAAAATGGAAAAATATCCTCGGGTGAGGATAGAAAAAAAAAAAAAAGGGTGAATCTTATGGTATGTGAATTATATCTCATTGTAAAAGCATAAGATTAAAAACTGTTAGAAAAAAATAAGTCTTCTGGAGAAAAGCTTGCCATCACTCCAGCTCCTGCTGGCCATTCCTCTCCCCTCTGGGACAGAAACCCAGCACATCCAGGGTCAACAAAGCTCAGTCCCTGCTGTGTCAGGCTTCACAGGCTCAGGATGCTTCCAGTAAGGAGGAGGATACAAAGAAGGGCGATGGGAGCAAGGATCTTGGGGGCGGGGCAGGAGAGGATCTTAGTGTGAGACCAGGCTTCCTGGCCCAGTGCCCACTGCTCTCCCCGCCCCACACACCCTGGCCCTGGGGACCCTGGACACATTCCCCATCCCAGGGACCACCTAGTTGTGAGAAAAGCCCCCATGAGAGAAGGCAGGGAGCTCAGGGGCACAGTTAGCAGCCTTGGGGAGGCAAGCCAGGGGGTTGACCTCACAGGCCCCAGCATCCTGGTCCTCCTGGAAATAGATGGAGTCAGCAGAATCGGAGGTGGGGTCCTGGTCAAAGAAGTTGTAGGGTCGGAGGAAGAAGCCCACACCATTCCCCACAGTCACTGTGTTGGGAATGTCCTCTGCATGTGGGATGTGCAGGAAACCAGCAGTCACCCAGGCCACCAAATCCTGGCAGGGGAGAAGGAAGAGGATCATGAGGCCTGACTCTGCTAAAGACACACCTGCCTCGCACCGTAGCCTGGTATGGAACGATTAGGCTTACAAACCCAGGCAAAATGTGAGATCGTAACGCTTCATTTCTTAGTGGATTCTGAAGAGGGCCCTGGCTTGGGAGAGAGTGAAGTGCCTCGTTTCTGCTTCTGCCACCTCCCTAAACTGACCTGCCCTGCAACCGTCTCATTGTTGATGAAGTCAGTGAAATCCACGGTGGGTGTCCAAGGGTCGTTCAAATTGTAGATGCTGGTGCTGCTGGGCTCCTCCTCCTTCCGCTGGGTCACGGCCAGCTGGTACCTACAGGAGATTTGGATTAGACCCACAAGGTCCTCAACCCGTCCTACTGTGTGAAGCTGCACTGAAGAGGGAACAGAAAAGAAATATAAGCATAGAAATGTTGGAGTAGTGAGCCTCTTTGTTATTCTCTGTTCACTTCCCACTCTCCCTCTCTGTCTCTCTCGTAGAGTTCCCACATTTGTTCAGCATCCTGCTGATATCTCAAACATCAGCTGACCATTGTTCAGACTTCAGGTCCTAATATCATTTGGACATCCATCTAGACCAGAGCCTGGGCCCTGGGTGCATGGACACATCATGATTCCCATTTTAGGCCAATTTCAGTATCTCAAATGCCTGGATGTTAGAGAATACTCCCTCAGATCTGTGTTCTTCTCTTATTCCCCCTGGCCCCCAGCAACCCTTATTGTGAACATTTAAAGTTGAAAGAATAGTATAGTGAACATACGTATGTCCACAACCCAGAATCTACCTTTCACATTTTATTGTATTTGATCCTGCATGCATCTCGCCATTCATCCATCCATTCAGTAGGCCTCATTTTAAATAGCTAAAGATTGTGGCCACAGGACTGTGCGTGTGTGCATGTACACCCACAAGAGGTGGGAGAACCTGGGTCCCCAGCAACATGAGGCCCTTCTTACAGTCCATCACCCCAGCCTCTCTGACAGCCCACCACTCACCTCCCCCAGCTGAAGGCTCTCTCCATGGAGCTGTTCTGCGGCAGCGGCTCTCCAGCAAAACTGAGAGTCTGGATGCGGTAGCCCCGTGGGTGACCCCACTTGTTGCTCTGGTTGCTGGCCAGGTACAGGTAGCGAGGGGAGGCACTTCCCAGGGGGAAGGTGGCCTGCTCCTCAGTCTCTAGCAGCTTCCGGGTCACCTGCAGCCTCTGCATCTGGTGCTCAGGGCTCCAGGGTACCGCCATGGGGACAAAGACCATGTCCTCAGCCCAGACCCAGTTCTCCAGTCCTGCCGGGTGGGAGGAAGGAGGAGGAAGAAAGGGTGGGAGAAAGGGCTGATCACGCAGCTGCCTTGTACCCACCTGGCTTCACTCAGATTGGGGGCCCAAGAGAAGCCCAGAACTGAGTATGTTCTCTACTTTCCTTCTCTCTCCCCAAGATATCCCTTATCCAGATTTAGAGAAGGTCTTTCTCTCCGATGTCATCTCTGGTAACAGTCCTGGATGCCTTGTGACTGGGTCTCCCCTGACCTTCCTCTGAGAGGCTGCAAGGAAAGTTGTTTACCTGAGGCTGAAGCAGCCTCACAGGCAATGTGCAGAGTTAGAGCTTCTGATCTGAGGAAGGGCTTTGCACCTCATATCTGACGCCCTATGCCATCACCAGAACTGCCTTTTCATGAAAATAATAATAGCTGTAGCTCACTTTTATTAAACCGGAAGATGCTGTGCACAGGCAGCATGCTGAGTGCTTTACATGTATTGATGATTTACTTGTATAACAAACAGCCTCATGAAGAAGAACTACAATTGTCCCCATTTTACAGATGGGACAGTTGAGGCATAGAGCACTTAAATAGCCCTTGTCATGAAAGGCATATGGTTAGTACTGTGGCAGTGCTGAGTCTTAGTTTGGCTCTACTGCCTACACATCAGCACATGGAGGAAACCAACACAGAGTGGCCCCACCTCCTGTGGACAGCAGCCATGTGGGCCCAGTGCTGCTGGAGCTTGGAGGTGTTTCTCATAGTGTCAGGTTTGCAAAGGAATTAGAAGCAGGGCTAAGGCAGTCTGTTCCCTGAATTTTGGAGTTTTGAATGTTTTGTTAGAGTTTAAATAGGTCCCCTGTTAGGAGTCAACTTGAGTGATCTGAGACCAAGAGCAGAGAACTGAAACATGCCGCAAGCTTCCTCCATACCTCCCAAGACCAGAGGAGAACAGGAACTGATTAAGTAAACCTTTAGTTTCCTTTTGTGGACTCACTGCCCTTGGCCATACCCTGGTGTTTTCACCCACAGGTGACCATTAAAGGCCAAGAGTTCTTTCTGGTGCATCCACATAAGCGAGCTCATGTGGATAACAACAGTAACTAATACTTCTCTCTATGGGTCTGGCACTGTTCCAGGGCTTAACTGTCATCATTGCTCTGATGGTTGCTAGAAGGATTGGGGGTTAGGGGACTGGGTGAAAAAGGTGAAGGGATTAAGAAGTACAAATTGGGCTCTGGCCGGTTTGGCTCAGCAGTTAAAGTGCCAGCCCATGGACCAAAGGGTTGTAGGTTCGATTCTGGTCAAGGGCATGTACCTGGGTTAAAGGTTTAATCCCTGGCCTCCGTTGGAGTCATGCGGAGGCAACCAATCAATGTGTCTCTCTCACATCGAAGTTTCTCTCTCTTTCTTCCTCCTTCCCTTCCACTCTCTCAACAAATCAATGGAAAAATATCCTTGGGTGAGGATTAAAAAAAAAAAAGAAGTACAAATTGGCAGGTACAAAATAGTCACAGGGCCCTGGCTGGTTTGGCTTAGCAGCGAGAGCGTTGGCCTGCGGACCAAAGAGCCACGGGTTTGATTCCAGTCAAGGGCACGTACCTCAGTTGTGGTTCGGTCCCCGGCCCTGGTCGGGTTGTGTGGGAGGCAACCAGTCGATGTGTCTCTCTCACATCAATGTTTCTCTCTCTCTCTCTCCCTCCCACTCTATCTGAAGATAAATGGAAAAAGTGTTCTCAGGCGAGGATTTAAAAAACAAAACAAAATCCACAGGAATGTAAGGTAGAACATAGGGAATATAGTCAATAGCATTGTTATAACTAAGTACAGTGCCATGCAGGTACTGGAAATATCAGGGGGATCACTTTGTAAAGTATATGATTGTCTAACCACTATGCTACAGACCTCAAACTAATACAAAATAATATTGAATATAAAATATAATAGAAAAAACAAAGAGTTGTCATTATTTAGATGCAGAGATAAAAAGACATGTGTGTCAGTTAGAATATGCTCATTTATTTTCTAGCTAAGTCCAATGAGAGAGCCTAAAACAATGAGATCCCAGTCATAGTGAGCACACCTGGGACCCAGATCTTGGTTTCTAAATATTGCTCTGCAATAAAAGCAACCAGAACTCCTTGGAGAAATGGTTTATTGAGTCCAGAGCTGGAGCATGAGAAAACAAAATGAAATTGGAACTTCTTGTGCTGCCAGGAAATAAAGAAGTACTATAGAAAGGATGGAGGCTTCTGATCAAGATGGTGGTGTAAGTAAACACAGTACTTCCACAACCTCATAAAAAATACAACTAAAGTACACAATTACCATCATTCAGAACCACCTGAAATCTTGCTGAACAGAAGTCCTACAACTAAGGATATAAAGAGGAAGCCACATCAAGACTGATAGGAGGGATGGAGCTGAAATCAGTTTGGTCCCACATCTGTATGAGGCAGATAAAAATCAGGAGGAATATCTCAGCTGTGGAGGTCCCACCTGAGGAGTGAGGGGTCCCATTCACACACCAGGCCCACCAGCCCCACCAGCCCAGGGTTCCAGTGCCAGGAGGAGGAGTTTCCATAACTTTTGGCTACAAAAATCAGCAGGGATTGTGGCTGAGTGAGACAGAGCACTCTGGAGTCCCAGGGAATTCTTCTTAAAGGGCCCATGCATCAACTTACTTGGACTCAGTCTCTCTGAGTTCCAGTGCTGGGGAGGCAGCTTGAAAGGCATCAGAGACATATAGGGAGGAACTGAATTGTCTGGTATCAGGGTGAAGACCGGAGGGGCAACTTTCTCTTAGAAGTGCTTACAGAAACCATTATTCCTTTGCTGAGCCCTTTCCCTCCAGAGTCGGTAGGTTGGTGCTATATCTGAATCTCCATCAACCTGGCTATCATTGTTCACCCTGCCCTGTTGATTCCATGAGGCTCTGCCCCACCAACTTGCAAGCCTGCTCTTATTGTTTCTAGTGGCTTTTCCATCTGAATGGCCTATCTTGGCTCATGCCTCAGACTTTTCTAACGTCCCTAAGTAAGCAGCATCTGGCCTTGGCATGCCCCTTACCTCTTGCTGTAGTGGCCCCAGGCTTGGCACTAGCAGCAGCCTCCTTGATTCATAGCTTGGCCTCTCCTGGGCACCTCTACTCCCAGCACAAGTGGAATCCATCTGCAGATTGCTTTGTAGCTCATGTCTGGTGGCCACAGGCAGAACACAGGCAGTGGCTGACCTTGGCCTGCACGTCCTGGGAGGCCACAGAGCCAGTGCACCTTGTGGATAGCTTCAGATCAAGTTGAAGCACCACCCAACCATCTCCACAAGTGGCACACTCAAGGGGCAGACTCAGTGGGCACTAGAACCCTGCTGAAGTAAATCCTGTCCCATGGGGTAGGCCCCTGCACAGCAGATCCACCACAGTGGTTGGCCCTGGGGGTAAATTCCTCCCATTGATGTGCCAACAGCAATCAAGGTTCAACTACAACAGGGGTGTATACAGCCCACAGAGGGGGTGGGGCATACCTGGAAGGCCCAGCTCAGGTGAATGGGGAGGTTTGCCACAGGAACCTACAGGATACCTACTACATAAAGCCACTCTACCAAGCCCAGGAGACATAGCAGCTCTACTTAATATATAGAAACAAACAGAGGGAGGCTATAAAAATGAGGAGACAAAGAAACATGTTCCAAATGAAAGAACACAATAAAACTCCAGAAAAAGAACTAAACAAAAAGGACACAAACAATCTACTAGATACAGAGTTTCAGAACATTAGTTATAAGGATGCTCAATCAACTTAGGAGACGAATAGGTGAACTTAGAACATCAACAGCATAAAAAATGACATGGAAACCACAAGAAAGAACCAGTCAGAAATGAAGGATATACTAATTGAAATAAAGGATAATTTACAGGGAATCAACAGTAGAGAAGATGAAGCTGAGAAGCAAAACAGCAATTTGAAATAAAAGGAAGCATAAAACACCCAATCAGAACAGCAAAAGAAAAAAAAAATTTAAAGAAATGAGGATACTGTAAGGAGCCTCTGGGATAACTTCAAGTGAACCAACATTCGCATCATGGTGGGGCTAGAAAGAGAAGAGAAAGAGAGCAAGAAATTGAAAACCTATTAAAAAAAATAATGATGGAAAACTTTCCTAACCTGTTGAAGGAAATAGACATACACGTTTGGGAAGTGCAGAGAGTCCCAAACAAGATGAACCCAAAGAGGCCCACAACAAGACACATCGTAATTAAAATGCCAAAGGTTAAAGACAAAGAGAGAATCTTTTTTTTTATCCTCACCTGAGGACATTTTTCCATTTTTGTTCAGGTAGAGTGGGAGGAAGAGGGAGGAAGGGAGAGAGAGAGAAACATCGATGTGAAAGGGACACATCGAGTGGCTGCCTCCTGCATGACCCCAACTGGGGCTGGGGACAAACTGCAACTGAGGTACGTGCCCTTAGCGGAAATTGAAACTGGGTCTCTCTGGACCTCAGGCTGACGCTCTAACCACTGAGCAAACCTGGCCAGGGCAAGAGAGAATCTTTTTTAAAAACTATGTTTTTATTGGTTTGAGAGAGAGAGAGGAAGGGAGAGGGAGAGAGAGAGAGAGAAATTGATGTGAGAAACATTGATTGGCTGTGTCCTCCATGCCTCCCACTGGAGACTGAGCCTGCAACCTGGACATGTGCCCTGACTGGGAATAGAACCTGCAAACTTTTTATGCATGGGACGACACTCAACCGAGCCACACTCACCAGGGCCAAAGAGAGAATCTTAAAAGCAGCAAGAGAAAAGCAGTTAGTTACATACAAGGGAGCTCCCATAAGACTGTCAGCTGATTACTCTACAGAAACTTTGTAGGTAAGAAGGGATTGGCAAGAAATATTCAGAGTGATGAAAACCAAGGACCTACAATCAAGATTACTCTACCCAGCAAAGCTATTATTTAGAATTAAAGGACATATAAAGAGCTTTCTAGACACTAAAAAGATAAAGGTGTTCATCATCACCAAAACAGTTTTACATGAAATATTAAAGGGCCTTGTTGAAAAAGAAGGAGGAGGAGGAGGAGGAGGAGGAGGAGGAGGAGGAGGAGGAGGAGAAAAGAAATAAAGTCTTGGTTGGCTTGGCTCAGCAGTTGGAGCATCGGCCCAAGGACCAATGAGTTGGGTTCATTTCTGGTCAAGGGCACGAACCTCGGTTGTAGTTCCTCCCAGCCTTGGTCAGGTTATGCTGGAGGCAACCAGTCAATGTGGCTCTATTGCATCGATGTTTCTCTCTGTCTCTCTCTCTCTCCCTACCTCCCTCTCTATCTGATGATAAATAGAAAAGTGTCCTCAGGTAAGGAATTTTTAAAAAAGGGAATAAATACATATCTATCAACAATGGAATACAAAGAACAAAATAAATGAACAAGCCGAACAGAAACAACTTTACAGATACGAAGAACATTTTAATGCTTACCAGATAGGAGGGAGCTTGGGGGGTCAGGTGAAAAAGGTGAAGGGATTAAGAAGTATACATAAGTAGTAACAGAATAGTCATAGGGAGGTCAAGTACAGCATAAGGAATATAGTCAATAATATTCTAATAACTGTGTATAGTGTCAGAGAGGTATGAAATTTATTGGGATGATCACTTAATATATTACATAATATCTAATCACTGGAGTGTACACCTGAAACTAATATAATATTGCATGTCAACTCTAATTTAAAAATAAAAAACGATGATAAAAAAAAAGGAAAATGAACCCTGGCCAGTTTTGCGCAGTGGTTAGAGAATCGGTCCTTGGACCAAAGGGTCACGGGTTTGGTTCCCAGTCAAGGGCATGTACCTTGGTTGCAGGTTCAACCCCTGGCCCTTTGTTGGGGTAATGCAGGAGGCAACCAATTGATGTGTCTCTCTCACATCAATGTTTCTCTCACTCTCTCTCCCTTCTTCCCTTCCACTCTATCTAAAAAAAATCAATGAAAAACTATCCTCAGGTGAGGATTAACAAAGAAAGAAAGAAAGAAAGAAAGAAAGAAAGAAAGAAAGAAAGAAAGAAAGAAAGAAAGAAAGAAAGAAAGAAAAGAAAGATGAAAAAATGGAGACATGTTCAAAGGACACAAGAATCAACCTCAAAGATCTCCTAATGACCAAACAAAACTGGAACAATTTAAAAAATAAAGTAAATGACAGTACTGGGAGGACTGGGTTATGACCCTTGGAACAAAATAAATATCCATGAATCCTTACAATTATGAATAAATAATTATGCACATAAATAAGTGAAAAAGAAAGAATAACTATTCCCTATGGAGAATTCCAATTAATAAATGTATAAAGAATCAGAAGAAAATGTAAATGACCAGCAGGAAAATAACACAGTAGTAATTGATGCAGGAAAAATCCACTAATAGATGCTAAAATTAGTGGGCAAAAATTGAGAAGAAAAGAAATGGGGTATTTGCATAACATCAAAGTCATTTCCCCAAGATATTTATTCAATACAAATAAAAAATATTAACTTTTACCATGAAGAAAGCTGGAAGAAGCTTCTCTCTCTCTCCCATTATTTTGGGGGGGAGGCAACCAAATTTTTGGTGGCCTTAAGAAAAAAAAAAGGGCCCTGGCCGGTTTGGTTCAGCGGTTAGAGCGTAGGCCTGCGGTCCAGAGAGACCCGGGTTCGGTTCCCGCTAAGGGCACGTACCTCGGTTGCAGTTTGTCCCGGCCCTGGTTGGTCATGTGGGTGGCAGCCACTCAATGTGTCCCTTCCACGTCAATGTTTCTCCCCCAACACACACACACTCTATCTGAACAAAAAATGGAAAATGTCCTCCGGTGAGGATAAAAAAAAAAAAAAGGAAAGCTGGAAAACACCACCTTAACCAAGTGCTTGAGGTCAACATCACTGATAATAAGACAAACACATCGACATCATGTACCCTCCGATGTGATGCAGTGAGAACAACATAACTGTGTTTTCTTCTCCATTAGAATGTAAGCCTCTTGAGAACCAATATGTTGTTTCTTTTGTTAAACTGTGTTCGTGTAGTGCTTGACACAAATATGCATTCAGTAAATATTTGTTGCTTGCATGAATGATATGTTATATGAGAAAAATAAAAGTGCCTCATATATCTTTATACATAGGATACAATATACTAAATTCTATAATTGCAGATGCAATATTTTAAAAGATGGAAGAATTTTTTTAAGTGTAGAAGAATAACTAATCTGCTAAGGGTGAAATCTCTTAGGCATCTGATACTTTGCACATTTACTTCATATACTTTTACATTTTTAATGTTTCAGTGACAATTTTTAGCACTAGGCATGGAGACTTCAGCTCCCTCTTCTGGAGAATACTTGACCCTTCAGGGCATCTTACCTGCTACATCCAGATCCACCATGAAGTGGGCACTGTGGGTGTGGGCAGTGCCTAGTGTGTGCTCCCCAACTTGGTTCCCATAATTTCGGGCAGCACCAAAGAGGAACATTGAGCTGATGTACCCCGTGGCATGGAATTTGACTTCTATGGCCCCACTGGGGTGGAAGACCATATCCCACACGTAGTCATAGTTGAGCATGGTAGACACAGATCTGACGACCAGCACTGTCTCTGCAAGGCCCCCAAAATAGTGGGAGTGGATATCTGAGTGGTGTCGCCTCAAGGGGAGACCCTGGTTCTGTTCAAACACACAGAAGGCATCTCGTATTGTCTTGGGGTCTTGGGACTCCAAAAGGAAGTGCCAGTCCACATAGGTGGCCAGGTAGGGGCAGTCCACCCCACGGGTCAGGGGTGAAGAGAAGTGACCCAAGCCAAAGCCACCATCTGTGTACCGGCTTCTTAGAGCAGAAGGAGAATCGCCACCATAGATGGTCAAGGCCTCCTGAACGCTGACTTCATAGGCCACTCTCTCCCCTTGGAAGCGGATGTCAAAGATCCTCGGGCCACTGAAAGCTCCAAGGCCAAAAGAGAAAGTCCACAATGAGGAGGCCACTCGATGTCCCTGGACACTGAAGCGGGGGCCCTGGCCCTGAGGATGGAACTGCAGAGGGGGAGCCGGACCCGGGGGCACCTGAGACTTCAGGGACCAGGACGCACCTGTGCCATTGTCTGGGATCAGCACCACATTCACCAGGCCGGCCTCAAACTCATCCTCCAGCTGAGCCAGACTCTTATAGTAGCGGCCTTGGAAGAACACCTTCTGGATGGTCCAGTGGGCAGGGTCCAGAGCCTTGTGGTCCACCAGCAGCTCCAACCCTACAGGGTGCAGGAAAAACCCAGCCCCTGAGATGTTGTAGTAGAGACCAAACCAGGTGGCTCGGTCCCCTGATTGCACACCCCGGGGTGCCGTGTTCATCGTCACTAGGTTCCTTCCCTGGTGCTTGTAGAAGCAGCAGTGGTGGAGGAGACCAGCAGCCTGGGGCAGCTCTCTGTCGAAGATCATCTGGTCTATGTCCAGGTACTCTCGGATCAGCACGGGGCGTCGGTGATAGGGCAGGGGGCCCCCGTGACGCTCCACAGTCACATCCCGCATGTAGGAGGGGTGGGGCAGCGGTCCCACCACCAGCTCAGTCACGTTGGGCTGGGGTTGTCCACCAAAGAAGACAATGGCCAGTGTCTCCCGGGCAGGTGGGGGGCTCATCTGACAAGATGGGCCAGGGCTGCAGCCTTGGAAGGCAGCCGTAGCTCCACTGAGAAGACGCAGTTGTCTGATGGGCGGGCCTGGGCTGCATCCACCAGGCCTGGCCCCAGCTGCTGGGTCAGAAAGCTCATCACAGCCGTCAGCTCCTCTCGGCTCAGGTCTGCAAACAGCTGGCTCTGGCCAGGGTGTGTCCAGTGCTGGGCACTGGGAGGTATGGAGGGGCAGTGGGGAAACAATCCAGGTTTACATTCCCTCTCGAATCCTTCCTCACTCCCGGCTCCACATTCAGCCGTGTCTATCACCAAAACACTACAAAGGGACAAAATAAGGAAGAAAGCCATAGCTAAAGCTCCTGGGCTGTCTTCAGATTCTTGAGTTGAACTACAGAATGGGAAATAGAAAGATAAACAGGAGCTGGGTGCAGGATGCCTCTTTTAGTCTCTGCAGGTTCCTGATCTCTAGCTGGTGCTACTGGGCAAGAGGCATGATGGGTACATTGAAGACAATCAGCCCAGGGCAGTGGGTGGGGTGGGGGTGGAGACAGCCAGGGGTCAGGCCAGGCTTGGGAGGTGGGGCTGTGGTAGGAACCTGGACTCTAAGTGGCCCACATAAGCCTCTGTCCTCTGTTCCAAATCAAATACTTAGGATCAGGGCTGGGGAACAAAGTGGGGGAAAGGTTGGTTTTGGAGATAACAGAGCTGGAGGGAGGAAAAAGGAACTGACAGGAGCAAAAAGAGACTGTACTGGTGGAACTTTTCTCCTGGCTACAAGGTTGTAAGTGAAACTCATCTGCCCACACCTCTCCACCCAGGTTCCCTCATTCCTTCCTTTAGTTCATGGTGCCCTCCAGACTGTTCCTAGTCACTCTCTCCTGCTCCCCCCACCAACCAGAACCCTACTGAAAACCCCAGGGATGCTTGAGAGTAATGTTGTGAACACAAAGCACCTGGGAGGAGTCGAAGGCGGAAAGGCTGAGTGAGACAGGTCAACACCGTGGAGGCTCTGTGAGTACCCTAAGTCACTGGAGTGTGCAGGAGCAGGGGCCAGTAGGAAGTTGGAGGGGGTGCAGGGGCACACACACCTTGAGCAGGACTGATGGGTCAGGTTCAGGGGGCCTGGAAAACTGGCTGTGGAATTAGCCTAGCAGCCCTCAACTCCAGGAAACCTTCCTCCGTAATGTTGCAGACCCAGAGAGCACAGCCGCCCTGGCCAGTTTGGCTGAGCGGTTAGAGCGTCAGCCCGTGGACCAGAGACAGAGAGCACGGCCATCTCCATTCTCTGCCAGGTGGTGTGCAGGAGGCCACCATGATCTGGGCAGCCAGGTCCCGAGGGGAACTAGGAGAGACTGAAGATTCCAGAGAAGGAACATGCTTCTTTCCTGAGTCTAGGGGAGAATCCTTTCCAAGCTGGACATGTCCAGGAAGACTTCCCCAGCAGTGATACTCGACTGAGCTTGCAGGCAGAATGCATGCTCCTGGCAGAGAATGGGAAGGACATTTCAGCTCAAGGGAACAGAAGGTGCAAAGTTACAAAAACTTGAGACGGCTTCAGCAAGGGCAGGGAATGGGCAAAAGGTCAGTGTGCTTGGTGTGAAGTGGGGAAGGGAAGGACGGCAGGCAAAAGAGGTAGGGACAGGAAGCTTTGTGTGGTTCATGTTTTAAGTAATGCAGTAATTCAAGGAAGACAGTGAAACATCTCAGAACTTATACAAGTTAAATTAGGTCAACCAATCTCAGAAAGGTCAGATTATCCAGAAATATTTAAGCAACCAGCTCTATTTAGGTGTGGAAACTGGACAGGTTTTCCTCTCCTTTGTTCTTTAAACCTGTAGGAGGAGTAATGGGGTTTTTTGAGAAAGGGAGGGACCCCTCCTCCAGGATGGAATTTAAACAAAATAACCCCCTCTCCAGGGAGATTAGCCAGCTCTACCTGTCTTCCAGTGAAAATGGGAACCAGTTTTGCTTTCGCTGATCTAATTTGCATACTCTGCAGAAACTATTCATGGAAAACAGTATTTTAAATATTTTTTATTTAAAAAGTGTTTTAAAAAATATTTTGGTGAACAAACAGGATAAAATGGGGTTTTGCTCTAGGAGAAAGTGTGGGTTTGCTCTAGGTGTGGGTCAAGCCCTCCTCCCATCCCTGTCTTGGCAAGTCTGGCCACTGAGCATAGTGGCAGTGGCCGCTGTCAGCTGAAGACTAACCAACCATTCCCCAAAGCCCCAGATGATAGAGTTTCCCCAACACAAAGATGAGTGCCCCTCCCGCAAAAGCATGTCTGTAATTGGATTTCCTTGCCAACCAGGTGAATGAGGGCACAGGACTGGTTATCTGTTATAGAAAAGTAGAGAAATATGGCATTTTATACCTAATCCTGAGAGTTGCGGAGAAAAATTCACACCCAATGTTCCTGTTGACTGAACAATAGGAAGGAAATGAGGGAGTGAGAGCTTCTTGCAGTCAAGATAAACAATAGAACTGCTATAACTAAGGCAGGAAGAGGTTTTTGGAAATGGGCCGTGTGACCTGGAGAATAAGGGGGCGCAGAATCTAAGGTCAAGGCCTACCTACCTCTGGCCACAAGGCAACTGTGAGTCTAGGTCTTTCATAAATCATGGTCTTAGATCCCAGCTAGATTACACTGTTAGGATTGCTAATGTTTTTTGTCCTGAACAGTGTTACCAAGCAGAGGAAAAATATTCACTCTTATGGGGTATCACCAAACTCTCACATGGGGAGGTGGGTAATGATGGGGGTGGAGAGCCCTTTGACTTGGCTGGTGGGGAACTGGTGTATAAAAAGGCATCACCCTGATCTGGTCAGCGCTGTTCAGTGGTTAGAGCATCAGCCTGCACACCAAAAGGTCTCAGGTTTGATTCCCAGTCAAGGGCACAGACTTGGGTTGCAGGTTTGATCCCTGGCCCCAGTTAGGGCATGGGTAGGCGACAGCCAATTGATGTGTCTTTTTCACATTGATGTTTCTCTCTCTCTCTCCCTCTCTCCCTTCCACGCTCTCTAAGAATCAATGGAAAAAATATCTTTGGGTGAGGATTAACAACAACAACAAAAAAGACATCACTCTGACCACCTTCCCTGTGTCTAGCTGTTGTATTGTTTCCTCTGATATTGTGTCATCCCAATCTTCATAATCATCACAGAATTAATCAGGAGACAGGACTATACTGCTTCTTCTACTAGATCTTCTCTTTGAGTAAACTTGGCCCCAGCCTCTGGGAATGTGATGAAGATGAGTTTATCCCTGGGAGCCAAAGTCCATCCCGAGCTCTCAGGCTGAGGACTAGGCTCAGAACACTATGCCTGAGCAGAGCTGCTGCCCCAGAGACCGTGTGGTCAACTTGGCCTCCTCATACAGCAGGTTACACTCTGTACTGATCAGCATTCTAAGGAGATGACTCTGGCTTGGGTGTGGAACAGACTAGAGGTGAGGAGACCAGTGGGAGGCAAAGGGCCTGGATCAGGCCAGTGACCTGGAGGACAGAGAAGAAGGGATGACTCTGAGAGATGTTTAAGGGTAGAGTTTACAGGACTTAGTGTCTGATTGGTGTGTGTGGGTAGGGAGGGCACAGCATCCTACATGACACAAAAGTTTCCCATTGTGTGACTGGGTGGGTGGTGGAGCCTTTCACCAGAAGGACGTCCACAAAGAGCAGCGAGTTTAAGGGAGAAACAAACAAGTTTGAGTTTGAGGTGCCCATGGGAAACCCCAGTATAGATGCCTAGAAAAAGAGAAGCTAGCTCTATAGATCTAGAGTACAGGAGAAAGGTTCTAGGCTAAAAACATAGATTTGGGCAAAACAACAAATACTAGCAGTTAAAGTGCTAGAGGCTGAAGTCACTCAGGGAGGACCTCTGCAGAGAAGAGAGGAGGGTCAAGGACAGAGTCTTGGAAAATGCAGTGGTTTGGGGCTAAGGGGGCTGGGTGAGCCGAGCAGAGGCAAAGGAGCCAGCACAGAAGACTGAGAAGCAGCAAAGATGGATGAAGAGGGTTCCGAATGTGGGGAAGTCAAGACAGAGTTTCAAGAGGGGAGCAGTCAGTGCTGTCAAATGCCACTGAGATGTCCAGAAAGTAGGCAGCTATAAAAGCATGCAGGTAGAAGTCACTGGTGACCTTTGTCAGAGTAGTGTCTGTGGCTTGAGGGTCAGTGGAGGGAGGGCAGGGGTTGTGGGTAGACTGGGGGCAGACAGGAAGCAGAGCCAGGACAAAGTTGAATCTATAAGCAGCAGCATAAGCAATATGGAACTAGAATTTAAATATCCACAGTTCTAAAGCACCTAAGAAGAATAGACTGAAGAGGAAGTTCTCTACCAGGCACATTTATGCACTTAAACTAGTAGTCAATAGAAACCCAAGCCCACCTAATCATACGGAACTACAGGTTGATAGTTGTTCTAGCAGTGAAGAGGTGAAGGAAAAAATTCTGACCAAATACCAGTCAGACCCAGCAAAAAGCTTCAACTCATGGAAGGTAAAGAACCTGCAACTGGAGCCAAGAAGAGTAACAAATCAAATGTACAAATAAATAAAATCTTGCCAGTGATGCTTTTCCAGACCTACTCTTAACAAACATACCTGGTTTTTTAACTAATGGTTCAAGTTCTAATAAACTTCAAGAGTTTTCAAAGAGAAGAAATAGAAGACAACCTAGGAACAATTCACATGTCTAATAGTACCAAAGACCTCAAAGACCTGATATTAAGTGGAGGAAGAAGTTTGCAAACCGATAGATCTATGGATAGTACCAATATTTTATTGGTACCTGAAACTGATTATGGCACGCAGGACAGTATCTCATTACTGGAACCTGACACCCCAGGGAAGGCAAAAACAGCTCCAAATCAACATGCGGGTCTGTGTGCAGAAATTAAAACCCCCAAGGAACTTATCCATAGTTGTTCTAAAGATACTAGAAAGGACAGAGAGGACTTTTAGGATCTATTGAAACCTGAAGTTAACCACACTCAGGAGACAAGCATAGAAATGGAGGAGAGTGAACTTGATACGCAGTATTTACAGAATACATTCAAGGTTTCAGAATGTCAGTCATTTGCTCTGTTTTCAAATCCTGAAAAGGAATATGCAACAGTCTATGCCCACTCCAGGTCCTTAAGGAAACAAAGTCCAAAAGTCACTCTTGAATGTGGACAAAAAGAAAATCAGGGAGAGAAAGAATCTGAAATCGAGTATGTACGGACAGTTTACACAACAGCAGGCTTTCCTATGGTTTGTGAGAAAGACGAAAAGCCAGAAGAATATGCCAAATGTAGCATGAAAGGAACCTCTAGCCTTTGTCAGTCACCTCAGTTCAGAGGCAATGAAACT